GCTCTGAAGCGAGTGCCAACGTTCTATCGAATCGCTGGGACCCCTGCCATGTCAGACTGTCAGGTCCACGAAACCTGACAAATCAGTAGCTTGTCTGGTAGCGCGCGAGACCTGGTCAGACATTCTGTCTTCCATGTTCCAATGAGCAAGCATGAGATCAAAACTTAAAAATCTTTCACTTACGTTATATTCTTTCAGCGGCACACAAAGTTCGAGAATAAAAACAAACAGAAACAAAAATAAAAAACAAAAACAAAAACACAAAGTCTTATGTTTGTGGTGGGTGGGTATGAAAGTAGAAGACCAAAAATCTATGTCTCTCGTTGTCTATGATTTTGGAATGTGGAATTTTGGTTGTGTGGAATTGAGGGGTGATTTTGGCGTCTTTTGAGAGACTTGTCCTACATACCAAAAACCAATTTCACGAAATTAACGCAGCCTCATCATCATCATCATCATCTAGAATCTCATCATCTCATCACCATCTCCTTACAAGGACACATAAAATTATTACAAAATCATTTTTTTCTCGGTCGGTCCAAAATCTCACTCTCTCTCTCTCTCTCTCTCCAAACCAATCACTGCTATGTGCCATTCCAGTTATTGGAATATAATATATATATATATCAATCATTTAAAATCGTGCGCATAACAATTGTATTAATCTATAATAAAACAAAACTTAGCCATGCATGTTAAGTAAACAATTGGTTTTGTTAGAGAGTTGGATATCACTCAACTCTCTCTCTCTCTCTCTCTCTCTCTCTCTCTCTTAGTGGAATGTGGAATGTGGAATGTGGATGTATATACATACATATATGTGTCTCCATTATGTCTTGGTTAGATCAAGAAGAAAGTGGGAAGCTGATTTATCTGTATCTTCCATGCAGCATATGTAATGGAAGCAATAGATAGAATAAATATTTTAGAACTGAAATTTATGGCGCTTTGTCCCCACGAATCAATGGATGGAGATGGAGACGCTGATTTTGCCAAAATCTATGGCTTTTTAAAGATCACTCTCCAGCTAAGCTAGGTTTATTCTTTTTTTGTCCCCCAACCATGAAATTATTATTTAGCAACTATATATAGGATATTAATTGAAGGAATCAACCTTAATTAGTGGATTTTACCTGACCTGGTAAATTAATTAGTGAAGTAATAATGTAGAGCAAATTATACCGAAACTACGGTTGGTTGTTGAAATAGAATCAGCATATTCTTGAGAAAAGACTATGAAATTGATTAGAAAAGCCATTTGAAATTGTACAAATTAACAGTCTTTCTGATTTGATAAATGATCATTGACGACGACCTTGTTAGTCAGAGGGCCGACACTTGAAACGCATACAGTCATAAGCTTGCTTAGAATGGAAGCTTAGTCCTTTTTGTAATATCTGTCAAACAAATGTGGACTTTAGACTTATGACAAAAAATTTCAATATAATAACATGCTTGTGCAACCTAAATCCATAACAAATTATCAACTTTTCTTGTATAAAATGGGGGCCGGGAATCAATTAAAGTCAAGAAAAGAAAGACGTATATTGATCCTTTGCCCTAAAATTATCGCAAAGACTTCATTCACTTCAAATTTCATTTTTTAGTCAGTTACCACAGTGGTTGTCGCCCTCCTCCTTCCCCTTGTTCGGCACCCACGATCAAAATCCCAGGATTTCTTTCTTCCCAATGTAACCAGAAAAATAAAATAAAAAAATATCATTTTTCAAGTACTGCATCAAAGTTACACACTTTGCCTACAGCAACGTTGTTCAAACCGGTGAACATTCTAACATATCCTCCGCCGGTCTCCCGCAAAAATGAAACTTGATTTCAAAAGATTAAAACAAAAAGAAGCTTTTAACAATTAAAAGGTCCATCTCTAACAACATTATACCATTTCAGAGATTAGTGGAACAAATTAGATGGAATCATTACTGCGGGCAAATATTAAATGGCGGAAAGTTCAACTGAGAATATATCATAGTTAATTATATATGTAACAATTGCTACATATACAGCACAAAAAACATCATGACGGCAGCAGCTAGCATATATAGAAGAACATCAAATTCCATGAAAGAAAATCCATGAAGTACATGTTCGATTCGGATTTCAAAACTCCATGAACTACTCATACACTCACTACTAGTATTGCAAACATCCTATCTAGCTCATACAATATTGCCATCCTAAAACTAAATTCCAAAAAGAAAAAGAAAAAAAAAACCTAAATTCCAAAAAGAAAAAGAAAAAAAAAAACCCTCAGCTCCCAGATGAAGCTGGAAAAACAAAAGGTAAACTAAAAGCGAAAAACCTACCATTTCTAGGGTTTCCACTACTTCATCACGATTCACGACGAACAAAGCCCATCAGTCACTTCTCCCAATCTTCCTTCATCTCATTCACGTTGCAGATCTATAGCTTCATCCAATGGATACAGTATCTTTTCCAAGTTAACTTTCTATAGAACAGAATTAATTGAAGCCACACTAAGAAATTAAAACCCGAAGCCAGCTTCACAGCTAAGTATATTAGATCCGATGAGACCAATATACCACAAAAGATCATAAGATAATAGAAATTGAATTGTTATAGGGGATTATTAATATTGTTGCTAGGTGTGGAAGTTGTAGAGCTAAACCCAGAAAGATCAGTCCACGAAGTATTACTAGTGCCGCCACCGCCGGCGCCGCTGCCATTACCCCAATACTGATCATTTCCTGAGCTCATACCCATCAACTGCCTCGACAAATTCAACTCCTGGTTTTGACTTTGATTTTGATTTTGATTTTGATGATGTTGTTGACTTTCTAACTCCATCTTGACCGCAGCCATCTGTGAGTTCATCCCCACAACACCATGACCAGACGGTGCTCTCGGCCGCACCTGATTGTAACCCGTCACCTCAACTCCACTGTTCTCAAACATCATCCCCGCAGCCGCCTGCGAAGGGTCCAGCCCGCCGCCAGCTGTCAAGAAGGGAAAAGACGGCGTTTGCTGCTGGAAATTAAAGAGCGACCCACCGATACTCCCTATGCTGCTCCCCATCTGATGAAAACTGTTCATGTCTCCTACTCCCCCGCCGCCGCCATAATTGTTAACGTTCATGCCATAATTTAAGGCCATGTCGGTGGCAAAAGGCGACATGAAACGCAGCGGTGGGATTTGTGGGCTCATCATAATATTATTATCTGCTGTGCTTGCGGTGTTGTTTAAGCCAATATTTGCTTGACCTGATGAACCGGGCGAACCGGTTGGCCTGTCCGAGCTGCTGACCGGAGACTTGGAGGCGGCGCTGCTGCTTCCTTTGCTTCTTTTGTTCCTCCTGCAGCCGCCTCCCACGGGAACGTTTCTCAGCGCGCCGCCCCGTGTCCAGTACCTTCGGCAGGTCTTGCAGAAATGGCGGGGCTGGGAAAGACTGTAGTTGTTGAAGTAGCAGAACTTGGTGTTGGTGGAATCGCACCTGGGGCATTTTAGTGCCGGTTCCGGGAGCGGGATGTTGGCCATGCGGGCTCGATCTGCCATGGAGCCTGGCCTGATCGAGCCCACACCACCTGCGCCACTGCCGCCACCATGAGGGTTTGAAGGCGGTGGTGGAGGTGGAAGGAGGTGAGAATTGTTGTTGTTGTTTATGTTGCTGTTGTTGCTGGTGCTTCCTGTTAAGTGATGATGATTTGGTTGCTGCAAAATGAAAGGAGAAAAATCAGATTAAAAAGCAGAAATCAAATATCTGGTATATTCAAGAAGATCATGAAAAACAAAAGTAAATAGAATATTTGGCTTTTGAAATGTTTTCACTTTCTTTTGGGGGAGAAAAATTCCTCAAGAGAACAAAATTGAAGGAGCTAGAGGTTACCTGTTGCCAGTTGGATGGATCAAGATAAGCTGGAATGGAGGAAAAAACCATGGCTCTCTCTTGTGGTGGCCTTTCTTTCTATCTTTTGTAAAGGTTGATGGGTTTTTGGAGATAATAGTGGAGAATCACATCAACAACAAAGAGAGAAGCTAGAGAGAGAGAGAGAGAGAGTTGCAGAGAGAGAGAGAGAGAGAGAAAAGAGAAAGGAAGACAGAAAGAAAGAAAGGAAAACAAGGGAGAGGGGTGGGAGTGGTGATGAGGAGCAAAAATAAAGGAGGGGCCTTTTGTGTATTTATATACTAATAATTTACTTCTTGTTGTTACTTGTTTGTAGTTGTTCCTTCTCACTAGGCTAAGACTACTCTTTTTGTTTTATTACTTTTTAGGGTTTTGAGAACTATGTTTTCTCTCTCAGTTTCTTAATCCATAAGGTTCTTTCTGATGTCTCTCTCTCTCTCTCTCTCTCTCTCTCTCTCTCTCTCTTTTACTTGGGAAATATTATAAGATTAGCGGTTCTCATCTTGCATGGAAAAAGTTGATGTTGTTTATGTGAATGTGGAGAGCAGCTTAATTATTATATTATTTATATGTTAGTTTAATTTGGTGCAGATCCTGTACATGGGCAACTCCCAATTTCGATATTTATATGGATTAAAATAATGAAATAATGCATGATAAATTAAGGAAAATAAATTGTTAAAGGAATTATTTTAATAAAAAAGAAAAGGTAGTTCTTGTGCTTTGGTGGGTGTGGCCTCACAGTCGAAGAAGTGTCCGCCCCAGTGAACCCCCTTTACCCCGGTCCGCTCTGTTCCCTTCCCTTCCCCACTTTGCTTTATTTTTTGCATGGGAATATTATATTATTAAATCACACCATCATTCCTCACTTCTACCCACGCGCCCTTTACAGCCGTTCTCATACTTGCTTATTATTATTTTTGGGGAACCAGATAATAAAGTTGAATGCAATCTCCTTGACTGCACTTTTTTGGTTTAATTTCTTGTAATTAAATATGTATCAGCAAAAACAGAATTATAGAAAACGAGAAAATCAGAAAAACAATTGTTATTTAAGCTATAAATCTAAATCCTTAAAAAATAAAACTGAAACAAAATTACCTTCGAGCCATTTAGAAGAATAAGGGAAAAGCCTATAACGATTTTTATAAAAAGTTTCATAAACCTAGTAAAGCATCTCAACATTTGTTCATTTTGGAGTTCGGAGTTTCTGTTCCAGAGTTCCAATGCTGGGACATGGAGAAGGCGGGTAAACTGAATAATTTTGGGATACATTTGTTCTTTCCGGCGGTTGGTGACGCCGCAATAGCTTCAGAATGTAAGTATCATCGTGCAAGAAGAAGGGCGCACTGCCAGAGAGACAAGTGTTTGTTAGAAAATGATACAAGTCACAACTACATCAAAGTCTCGGCAGCGACACGAAGTACTGATACCTATTGAAATCGAAGTGCACCATGTGCTTGTCTTCAGAAATCTCAATCTCGACGGCAGCATCACGGCTTGTCTAGAGAAGTAAAAAGATTGAAAAATAAGATTATGCACTGTCACACATGTACACATATATGCATCCGCTATGTATTTATAATCTCTAAATCTTGCAGGAAACTGAACTCTTCTTATAGATGGTAGATTGATGATTCTGCCATTTAGGAACAGGGTATGCCTTTGAAGATTGGGCTGAAATTAACAATCAACAGATCTCTAGCTAGCAAGTGAGTACTAAAGATAAATTTTCAACAACTTCATTTTCATGCAGGAATGAAGTTCATACCAGCGTGCACTAGCTGATCAACATATCAATGATGACAGAGTACAAAGTATGCATCAGCTGAAATGTCAACCAAACTAGTGCCCATTCTGTCCTAATAATTAGAAGATAAATTTATGTCATAGCTCTTGGTCATTCTCTTAAGCTAAAGAGTAGAGTGAGGATAAACGCTAAAAATCTCCAACTCGAAGAAATGCTAACTACAGGCTTCAACTGTAAACAAGTCATAGCCATGCAAACCAGCAAAAGATAACAAAGTAATATACCTGGACCAGTATAAATGGCAAAGAAAATCCCCCCGGACGAGTGTTTCCACTCTTAAGCAACTCTTTATTGCAGCACATCAAATTTTGGAGATCTGCAAACTATATCATATTTTTCCAGAGAAATAACAAAGACTATTAGAACATAAGCTGGTAGATTAATTCCATTTGATTGAGCAAAGTGAAAAATGTTAAAGCCTATATTTTCTGTTCTTTATAAAATAAAAATCTACTAACAATCACGCCAACTGTCATAGGTTATTGCGATTTAACAATTAGTGTTCCAACACAAGTCCTACTAGCAAACCATTCCTACAGGGACTGAATAAGACTAAAACCACAAGATATACTACAGGGATTTACAAAACTTATCAGACTGAAAGTATGTCAGATATCATTACTTGCTCTTCTAAGTCTTTCAAGTAAGCCGTTTTCCTTCCAATCCTATTCATCATTTTGACACATTCTGCCTGAAAGAATCAAAGACAAAATCAAAATTGTCAAATTATTCAATCCCCAAATTTTATAGCACTTATGTATCACACGATCAAAATAATGACATTCACTAACCTTCATTCCTTCCAAATCCATCTTTCTGTCTGGAATCCCATTCCACTTTATTTCTTTTTTAACTCTTGTGATGATATCCAATGCCTCAAGAACATTTAATGCATCATATACCCGCCGTGGAATATTTTTGTCATTAAACTGATAAGTTGATAAATCATTTTCACAACATACTTCAGTAATTTCCATAATGGCAAAACAACTGTGACAATAATGATAGTCATTAAAAGAAGCATAATGTAGATAGTTATATCAGTCTGAATTGAACCTCGCTCAAAGATGTTGCTGTTTCACTGTCATTTCCAGCTAACTCTGACATTATGTAATCTGCAAGCTGAACACCATCACTATAATTACTCGCACTTAAACATTCACTGATCAAAGAAGGAAAAATATATTACAAAAATCCGAAGATTATGTGACACTGGAAATAGAAGCTATCCATTATTCGCAAAGAAAAACCATATGTAACACTATCCTAGAAAAAAATACTACATAAAGGATCTCTTAAATAATCCTTTTCCATAATGATTCTTCACCAAATAAACTTCATAGTTACTTTAGAAAAATATACCTCAGCATAGGTTGTTCTTCCCTTGCTCTCCAACAAGTCACAAACTGAAAAGGAAAACAAGATCTATATGTTCACTAACCCCACCTTGAGAGATGATACTCATTAACAACAGGTTTAATTTCACAAACACATGCACAAACTATATTATCATGGAATGAACAAAATTTTGACTTGTGTATATCAATTACTAACCTATGGCACTGAACTGGCGCAGACCTCCACCCGTCATTCTTGAAACCCTTTTCTTCTTTGGTGCATTTCTTTTAGCAGGAACAAAAAGAACAAAAAATATATTTCAGAAGGAATACCCTTAGGTACCACTTAAAGCAGCCATCAAACAAGTTCTTAAAATGATGTTATCGCAAACACAGTACTTCAGTGGTTCTGGTTGAACTGATAACATATGTAGACGAAAAAGGAATAATATGATATGATGCATAAACCACTTTACTCACGTCTCAACATTGGCAGTACCAGTATCGTCATGATCGAAAGTGATAGATCTCCGTGCACTCCCAAAAGCAGCTGCATGTTTCAGTGAAGCTGAAACAGAACTTTCTGCACTAGAATGCTTCTGAAAGAATCCACCAAATGAATCCCCAGAGTAGTTATCATCCATAATGTTCAACTAGCTACACTCTGCAAATCAAACAAAAATAATTCTAGGCGTTTACGGTGAGTAATAAAAACACACTCATTTGCAATTTCTCCTGTATCATAAAAGGAAAGAAACTACAATTCAATTCATAAAAGAAACATAGCACCATTTAAATTCGATTATTCAAGTGATTTTAGTGTCAGGAGGATCCAATGAAATCAGCCATCTCCACCATAACATTTTCTTAAATGAGACATTGCCAATTTTCCAAACTACTGGCTCAAGCTTTCTCAAACCGAAAGCAATTGAATCGACAATCACCACAGAATGATCAAATTGATGAGCTTCCAAACACATACCAATGACGCTACAGAATTTACAAAAATTACTAGAACAATGAGAATCACGATACTGCTCATCGATCACAAAAGTAAAGAAAATAAAAATACAGTAAATTAAAGAAAATTAAAGAAAAAGAAATAGAGAGATGTAAATTTTTGCGTTAAAGAAAAATGGAGGCATTCAAATGAAAGAGGAGCGCGAACCTGAAGATCTAGGTGTCTCAAAGGAGAAGCGCAAACCCTAAAAATAGGGGGATTTTTCCAGCATATTATTATAAGATTGAAAATATGTATATATATATATATTTGCAGTTCCCGCTTTTCGCGAATATGAAGACGACGAAGTAGGAACAGATGAAAATAAAGGGCAGAGCGTGCTAAAATTAAACTGCCATCAGAATGGGCCCACCCCTGAAATTTGATTTTTGCGCCACCAGGCCCGCGGTTTTGCCCACATTGGATTGGAGTAGCCCAAAGCCAAATTCATATTTTATTTCCATGTCTTTTTACTTATAGCTCTTGAGGGATTGTCAGGGCACAAAAGGTGTCGTGGTGTAGTTGGTTATCACGTCAGTCTAACACACTGAAGGTCTGCGGTTCGAGTCCGTGCGACGCCAATATTTCTTTTTATTTATCTCAAGAAGATATAATGCACGGTTAGCTGCTCTCAATCACTTTACCAGTTTTGGTTTTCTTAAAGGGTTTCTCTCCCAAGTTCGTTTTATCTTCTTTTTCATTAGATTGCAAAGAAAACTCAACACCCAAAACATTTTATAAACACACCCAAAACCCATCATTACACACACTCAAAACCCATTTATAAACACACCCAAAAAATATACAATTGTTGACTTTGGAGTTGATTTTGAGTGTGTTTCTATGTTTAAATAGTGTTTTGGTTTTTTTATAAATACATGTCTAGGATTGGTTTTATTTATAAATTTGTAAAAGAAAAATTCTAAATGTGGGAGGGAGGGAGGGAAAATCAAGCATAGACAAGACTATTTACATTGCTTAGGCCGGAAATTTTTAGAATCAAGAAGTTTCACAACGAGTTTCTCTAGCCTCTTTGAAACTACACTTGGTTTTACAGCATTTGGGTTGCCACAAGCTAAACACAGATCTTTACCTAACTTCCCTAAACACCAACCACCCGGCGTAAACTGGCCTCTTGGTCTCTTCAAGAGCTCCTTGTCAATTATGTCAAGAACCGGATCGTCCCTGGCAAATGAACCAGCAAAAGGAGCTCCACTTTGGGCCATGTCATTGTAATGTTCCAGCGTTAGGTTAATTGGATTTGCCTTCGGAGGGCTATCCCACCTTATGTAATGCAAGTTATGATTCACGGTCGTGTTCTGGTAGTCCTTGTGGTTGCACGCAAGGGTGTGGAAGTAGCCCTCTGGGGATGACAAGAAATTGGTGTAATACATGAGAAGAGTGCGGGGAAGATTGTCCCACCCCAAAACACAGAACTCAAGAAACGATTTGGTCAGCACCACCCACGTGGACCCTGAAAGTAGAAAGACTTATGTTTGAGATATGCAAAATAAAATGCTTCTACAAACCATCAGCCACATATAGTAAGCAAGATAAACCATTCAACAAGTACAATAAATACTGTCCATTTGCATCATTGCGGAACCCCAGAATATATATGAAAATTCATGGGTTCCACTCTTATGGATGTAAAAACTGTAGGCTATGATCAAAATGGCAAGATTGAAGTCTTCCACCAGACTACTGCAGCATCACACTGGTTATGAGCTTATCATTATAGTATCATTGATTATGAGCTTATCTTATCATTATGAAAGATTACATAATGACATTATAATTCTCCGGCTTTAAGGAACTCAGAAACCAAACTGTGCTCGAGGCAGTTGCATTGATTATTTCAAGAAACAAAATCTATACATGGTTCTAAGAAATCCTAGCTTTTTATGCTTTTCTTCTCATGGTAAATGTGTAATGCAAATCCGAGTCAGGAGGTTGTACAGAAAGCTCAAAAATTAAGAAATACCAAATTCTTTTTGGAATTTGAAGTGGTTTCTAAATTCGTTCTAATTCACCTAATATAACCCTATTAGTCTACACTTCGATTAGCAAATGCCAACATCCATTAGTATCCAGCAGCACTTATTCTCAATTTCATGAATTCAACTGAAAACCACGTGGAAAGACTAATATACCACTTTCTATACCAGCTCGGCATGAGAAAATAAACCCAGAACACAAAGTATACTTAAATGCAGAGAAGGAGAAGTACCCATGAATAACTTGAAGGAAGCAGGCATTGACCTTCTCTCTTTAGCCCAAAACACACCGGATTTCTTAGAGTGGTACAAGCCAGGATCAACAATAATAGGCCTTGCCCTTTGATTTCTGAAACATTCCCACAAAAACATATGCAAATTATGAACATCAAGCCCAACACTAGAAAGAAACCAGTTGTTGAATTGCGTTAAAAAATTGGGTGCTTACTCTTTCCACCCAATATTGCTAGTGTGCTCCAAGAAGTTGAGCTCCCTCGGCAAGAAAGAAAAAATATGCAAAAGCTCTATAACAGCAACAATTTAGAAACTTTAATTAATCTGTAATTAACAAAATAAAACTAAAATTACTAAAATTAGTAAAGTTACCATCTTGGGACATAAGAGGATAATCTGAGGCGCTGAGATTAATAAACCAATCCCAATCCTTAGCCCGCTTGAGCAAAATCGCAATGGCGTGAAGCGTGGAGGCAATCATAGTGGGGCCCTTGGCGGTGACCAAATCGGCCTTTCCGATCACCATGGCATTCCGAAACTCCCGAATTACAGCCTCCGATTTCACGAATTTCGCCAGCTCGAGCCTCTCGGCGTCCGAAGCTTCGAGATCGAGGTGCAGCAAATAGTAATTTCTCGGGTGGTAAAGCGCCTGAAGCAACCGCCGCAGCTGGGGGCCATCGCCCTTGGAGCCCGATATGAGGTAAGCGAATCCCGGGAGTTTCGGAAGCCCTAACCGGTTGCTGTCCCCGTCGTTGTTTTCGGCAGTATCTCCAAAATTTCGGTCCAGAGTGGTAAACTGGCGCTGCTCGTAGTAAAAATCGGAGGCGCCGGAGGAGTATTTACCGTGGCCGGTTAGGGTTACGGTAAGAAGAACGATGAGGAAGAGGAGGGAAGTGGCGGTTAAAATCATGAGCCATTGAGCGTGAGCTCTTTTCATTGGAGGTAAAAAAAAATTTTGGGGATCAAGAGGAAATTGGAAAATGACAAAAAAGATGAGAGATTTGGTGATGTGGGTTGGGTTTGGAGGGAGTGAGAAGGTAGGAGGTGGTGTCGGCGTGAAACTTTTTCTTCTCTTTTGTTTACAATTTACAGGTGGGAAAATGGGTTCAGTGGGAGAGGGAAAGCATACCCGTTAGTATTTAATTTGAATTGTGGGTTGTGATCTGCTACCGCTCGACCGTTTGTGTTTGTGGTACACCTTAACTTCCTTTTGTTTACGTTGCTAGGGGATCTATCTCTACCGGTTAAGAGCAGTTATTTGTGTGAGATTTTTGTCACGTCTTAGATGGAGTCAAAATTCGGGTTGGACATAGGTAATTAGATTCTGTATGCAAATAGCAAAATTTCCATTTTTAACTTGAACAGCAACAGCACATAGAACTCTAGACTGAGGACCAGAGCTCCGTTCTCTTTATCATTTTCTCCATTGAATCTAAGAAGAAGAAAACGTGATTAAGCAGGAGCATTGAATTCTAAACATTGCAAACATTTCAATTTGAAAAGGGTTACGAGTCAATGGAAAAAAGGAAAAAATATATAAGAGGTGGCCTTATGAGCCATCTAGGGCCGAGTCTCCTTTTTGCTTGAGGACACAAATAAGACAATGGAAAAGGGAAATAAAACAAAAAAACTTTTGGTGCCAAATGGGCCAGAACTAATGACTCATGTTGATTGTCGACGAAGGAAATTTCCTCCCAAATTGCATATGAACTCTCTTCTTTTTATGTAATAATTTTCAAGTAGAGCAATGTACCCGAGCTCGAATCTTCCTATGTAGTTTAATATTGTATGTATAAAAACAAAATTTTGAGTAGCTTAATTAGGCATGGAGTGGTCCAAATAATCATACAAGTTGGTGCTCCGCCCATTTTAATGATATTATTAGTGGGACTGGTTGATCAATTGCTTATTATAACCCATTGAAAGGACGTGTCATCTTATAAATGATCAAACACCAAATGGGGTTGTTGACAGGCAAATGTTTAGGTACTTCTTATTTGTTTCCTTTTTAATTAAATCTGCGAACAACAAACATCATTACAATTTACGTGTCGTATGAACTCAGACTGTCCTGTTTGTAAAGAAACTTTCACGACTCACCCACTCCACTTCTGTAGTCTTTATCAGAAACTCACAGAGCAAAAATAAAAAAAGAACCTTAAAAATAACAAGCGCATTCACTTATTTCCCTTCTCTTTTTTCTTTTTCATTTTTTCCCAATGAAGAAGGAAAAACCCTATTTAATTTTTTTATTTTTTATTTTCCATTTTTTCATGCTGATTCTCTCATGGCTGACAGTATATATGTTGACTACAGCTGAGAAATGATTAGGCATGCCATATGGTAAGGGTGATTAAAACAAACATCATCTGGTTTGAAATTCAGCTCAAAGTTTCAACTTTCAACCTTCAAATTATAGAAGAAGCCCTGATTAAATCAACTACTTTCTAGCATTTCTCTCTCTCTCTCTCTCTTTCTCTCTCTCTCCAGTAAAAGCTAAAGAAATTGAACTACTGCTACAAGTTTACAACTTTTTGTCGGTGAGTTTCCGAAAACTTCAAAAGAAAGCAAAAGAATTAACCCAATATCCCAGCTGCCACATGTTGTCATCATCATCTTCCACCAAAACCCAATCACCACAAAACCCTCCAAGAACAGAAGGAAAAAAACAAAAATTAATTTAGTGTGTCAAACCATAGACGAAGCATCAGGCAAACCTTGTTGCTGATCATCTCTATCTCTAGCTGCACCAGACGCCGTTCGATTGTTACCACTACTACGATCGACGGCAATATAAGCTCGACAAATGGGGCAATTGGAGTGGTCTTTAAGCCACATGTTTATACAGAGAGCGTGGAAAGAGGGCTTGCAGACGCTCAGCTGCCTGACCTCTTCACCATCAGCAAACACAGACAAGCAAACAGGGCACTCTGTTCCAATTTCCTTCACATGGGTCTGTTTCTGGTACTTGACGTCAGAAATGACGTCGTTCCGGTTGAGGGTGTTGGGTTCGGGTCGGATGGGTCCCGATGCGGTGGTGGAGCTCCGGTGATGCCGGCGGCGGAAAGGGTTGGGAGGGCACTTGATGGAGAAGAAGAAAGCGTAGACGAGAGCAGGGATAGTGATAACGGCGACGAGGCCGAGGATGAATCCGAGGGCAGAGAAGTCTACGCTTCTGGGCGGTGCTGGGAAAGGTGGGGGTGGTTTGTTTAGGACGGTGGGTGCGCTCTCCATGATAAGAGAGAGAGAGAGAGAGAGAGAGAGAGAGAGAGCGAGTGGGTGAGGTTTGGAGTTTTTCTTTTGAGTTTGGTGAAGTTGGAAAAAAACAATGTGTTTTTGTGTTTGTGTGTGATGTGGTGGAGTTTCTTTGGGTTTGTGAGGAGCAATTATTGATGGGAATATGTGGGGTTTTCAGGGAAAGTCCCAAGTAATATCATGATAGCTACATATTTTACTGCAGTTGGTATCAAGTACATCATTTGTATTCTAGTATAGAATCACCAAGTACAATTCGTTTCCTTTTTATAACATTGATAGATGATATAACGAGGAAATAATTTGTGTTAATGTAAGTCGTATGTTTACAATTTTTTACTCTTATTTTTTAATATAAATGAGAGTCACAAGATTATAGTCGAACTTAAAACTACTAGTCTACAAGTCAATACACTTTTCTATTGGCCTACAATTTTCAAAAACTAAACATGTGGTGCTCATGACACGAATAGATGCTGGCACTTGGGAGACTGACTATATCATATGTATAGGATTATGTATATATTTTACAGGTGGTTTCTTTAGGTCCTACCCATGAGGGATATTGTCTGTGGTTTTGGGTCCTCAGTGATGGGTGTAGGCCAGACAGGACTAAACCAGCCCAGGCTCAAGCTGGGCCAGAGCTCCACCAAGCATGCCCAAGTTGTAGTACAGATTTTGTGCAGGCCCTAGAACATAATTTTCTGTCTGGACCCTCACCGACCCATCTTGCAATATAAATGAACAAGGAACAAAACATTATGTGCAATTGGACGATTGACAATTAGTTCTATGTAAAATATAATCAAAGGGAGTAATTCTTTTTTTTTTTTTTACTACACATATCTAGATCAAGTGCTCCCAAGGCCTCCCTCACTGAAACTTGGAATCGACAGAACGACATGTTGAGGAGGAGGCTCAATATCTGTGCGACAAAGTGGGCAATTAGAGTGAGAGCTCAACCACATGTCGATGCACTCGGCATGAAACAAGTGCATGCATTCGGGCAGCACACGAATTGCCTCACCATCTTTGAACTCGCACAAGCACACAGCACAAATCCCATCTTTGCTTTCTTTGACAATTGGGATCAACTGGTGATGTGCAGATGAAGAACTATTGCTTATTGTAGTTGTGGTTGCTCTAGTTTCTGTTGTTGTTCTTGTTCTTGTTCTCCGGGGCCTGTTCCGATATCGGTTGATATGAATCTCGTAGTCATCATCGGCAAGGCATGCATGTGTTACAATAACGATGATTGCAACTGCAAGGGCCAAAACGCCTATGAGAACTATCTCGAAATCTAACATCATCTTAACATCAAGCGGTTCTCCTAATCCGTCCATGGTGGAGAAAGAGAGAGATGATCAGGGGGTTTTAGATGAAGGAGGAGTCGTCTTGGTGCACAAGTTAAAATGGCGTTGATTGCTAGGTGGCTTGGAAGTTGGAGGTTTCAGATGCTGTGTCTCTTGAGCATTTGTGACAAAACAAAGACCTTCACTATGCTGTTTTACACGTAGGGGGTTACGGAGAAAAATAAAGTCACCTTGTTATAAGGTATACAAAAAAACTAGAACTTTGATACAGCTAGAGCCTAGAGCTCAGCTTGCCTATGACGGCAACTGTAATTTATCATGTTAATAATAGTATTATTTCATCCAAGTAGCAGTCAACGTGATCAGAGGTATAAAAAAATGAGAGACTCCAATATAAGCCCATACAACTGATATCCCCTAGACACAAACCCATCTATCTATATAACTACGTTGAAAACCCAAATTCAAATTTAAATGACCAGTAGGATATAAGAGGTCGTAGTATTTCTATGTTTTTACATCGTTGCCACTAAACTTCATATTTTATTTATAATTTATTTCAAGCATTTCATTAACTGCCATAATTGTAATTAATATACTCCCTATTAATAGCATATCAATCATCCCATTTCTTTTAGTTGTCATTCCCCCTCACATCTCGCCCACTAAAATTGCAAACAAAAAAAAAAAAAAACTGTAAATTACATATCCAATAATGTACCTATGAAAAATATAATATAAATATATACATATAAAATATAGGTATATTATTTACCCAAAA